CTTGGGCGACTCTCGTCCGTTTTCGTCCGTTGCAGTAGTTCAAGAAATTGGTGTACGCAAGGTAAGGCACATTCCGCCTTTCTCAATTTTCAGAACAGTGAAGTTTGAACGAGTTTTCTGTTTGGATTTCATTTTCGTTAGCGAATTTCGTCCATATTTTTCGATTGGTTCAGTTTTTATCGCGTAACTTTATATATGTTTCTGATGTGCTGAGTGTGCACATTTTGAATATTTTTTGGAGATTTTTGACCAAATAGTTTTGATTTGACAGCGTTTTCTGTTGATTGTAAATTTTCACGATGTCTGTAAATATTGTGGTAGTAGAATAAAAGTCTTATAATGTTGTTGTGAATGTTCTGTGGTAATTTGGTAAAATTCTGATTTGATGATTTTTTCGTAAATTCCATATACTGCCGTTACGCCGCCGGATTTTCGTACGATATCTCAAATTGTCCGTATTTGTTTTAAAATAACATGTTATGCTTGTGTGCTATAAAAAGGGAGTTATAAGGGGTCAGGATCCTGTGAGATCCTGTCTGTGTCAGGAAAAATCTGAAATGAGCTCTGAAATCTGAAAATAAGTTCTGTTCCAGATCCGATGATAAGTTCTATTCTGGTGCTATAAGCACATCTATTCTGGTGCCAAGAGCACAGAGGGAGGCATAAGGGGTCAGAATCCGAGAGATTCTGTTAGTGTCTTGGAAGGGAGGCATAAGGGGCCAGAATCCGTTGAGATTCTGTCAGTGTCAGGGAATCTGTTCCGACTTTTGATATATTCTGAATTGATATGATTTTTTTATTTCCGTACGATATAATTTGATCTGATATGTATAATTATGATTCTGATACGATTCTGACATAATTCTATTCTATTCTGATATGATTTGATTCTGATTTCCGTACGATCCTATATGTTCTGATTTGATATTTAATTGTTTTGTTTGTTCTGTTCTGATTGATTCGTTCTGTTCTGCTCTGTCAACTCTGTACTCTGATTTTTGTACGATGGATTTCTGTAAGATGTGTTTGATGTGGATTCTGAGGATTTAGATTGGAGGTTTGATGTCTTGTTGAGCTGTTGTAGCTCATCCTTATTTTCTGCGTGGTTTTTAGTTTCTGAGAAAGGGAAGGAAGTCTTGGAGTAGAAGTTCAGAGTCTGATCCGTTATATGTATTTTGTACTTTTGATTTTTGTACAATCATGGCTTTTCTGTTCTATTTTTCTTTCTGTCTGAAAGCAATGAGCTGTATTTGTATATGATTCTTTTGAGGAAGAAAAATATAGATGATCTGTTCCACTGCATTTGATGTTCATAGAAGCTCTGTATGAGTCTGTTTCTCTCTGTATGTTTGGAAGAAAGTTCTAAAATAAATTCTAAAGCCAGATCCTGGAATCAGTTCAGTCAGTTTGAAGTTCTGGCATCACGATCCGATGCGAGCGGGACCCGTCCCGGTCGGGTTGGGTCGTGACAAGCCTTTTTAGTGGTATCAGAGCAATAGTTTTGGAATTTGGAATTTGGATTGTAAGACAGAGCTATAGGAAGTGATGTGAGTCTGTTTGGGATAGTTTTGGTTTGTCCGAATTTTTATTGTGTTATTTTTGTGATTAGTTTTCTGGATTTTCTGTATGGATCTACCAAACCCCGATATGACAGACGGTTAGAGTGCCAATCAGGTAGCACCAGTGGTTAGTACAGCCACAGTCGTTGGTACAGATACACTTTCCCAGTTTGTTACATTGGTTGCTCAGATGATGAGCGAGACTCACAGTAGAGCCTCTACTGTTCGATCTGAGGATATTGATAGACATCTGCAGATGTTTCTGAGATTGAAATCTCAGAGGTTTGAGGGCGCTGTTGAGCCCAGAGTAGCTGAGGAGGTTAGACAAGACTTTTGACGGCATGCAGTGTCCGTCAGACATGAAGATACCTTTGGCAGTATTTCTGTTAGATGGGGAAGAAGAGCACTGGTGGGTAGGCCAGCAGGAAGCAAAGTTTCAGGGCAGATTGAACTCCCTGATTACTTGGGAAGAATTTAATGAGGTATTCCGAGCTTGGTTTGCTCCCCCATCTGCCGTGCAGCAGATGCAGGAGAGTTTTCTGAGGCTGGTTCAAGGGAGCAAGACAGTGATGCAGTATGAGGCAGAGTTTACTTCCTTTGCCCGATATGCTCCACAGCTGGTGAGTACTTCTGCTGAGAAGTGCTATCGATTTATGAGGGGACTACGAGATAGTTTGAGGCAGCCCCCAGTACCCTTTCATATTTCTGATTTTTCTGAGCTTGTGGAGAGAGATCGTCTGATAGAGAATGATATGATGGCTACTCAGCAGCGGTGGACTGCGGGTAGGAAGAGGTTTGGGGGTGATTCGAGTAGTAGTTCCTTTGGCAAGAGGAGATTTATTTCTGGTTCTGGAGACTCCAGGAGGAGTGGACAGTCAGTATTTACTGGTACTTCTACGCCCAGTACGACTAGTTGTGGATCTGTTAGTGGGGCACCTGTGTGCCAGAGTTGTGGACGATGACATTTTGGTCAGTGCTACAGGATGACTGGTCAGTGCTTCAGATGTGGTTAGCCAGGACATCGGATTGCAGAGTGTCCACAGGTTGGATTTGATCGATGATCTGAGTTTCGATCTGAGAGCTTTGTTAGACCTGTCGGTTCAGCAGGAAGACCGAGGACTGTTCCTCCACGCCCTGTGACTGAGGGATTTTGTGGTAGAGGTGGTGGTTCGAGTTCTGTGCCACGGAGATCACTTACTGTTAGTGAGAGGCTCCCTCTGCCTAGTAGTTCTGTTACTTCAGCTCCAGCTCCAGTTCAGCCACGAGTGTACAGTCTGAGTTAGCAAGAGGCTCGAGATGCTTCAGATGTGGTGACAGGTACGATTTAAATTTCTGATCAGCCCAGTCGTGTTTTGTTTTATTCGATTTACTTCCGATTTCTCTTTCTGTGATTTTGCCGGCTGGAAGTAATTTGATTGCTCGGAAGTTTTGTTTTTGTGAGATTGATATTGCTAGAAAGAAGTGGAAATCGAGTTTGATTCTGTTGCCGATTTCTTCGTATGATGTGATTTTGGGCATGGATTGGCTGAGTCTGTATGAGGCTCAGATTGACTGTTTGATGAAGCAAATGAGTTTGCTTATGTCTGGAGAGAGGTATGTATTCCAAGGTTTACGAGGTGTTCTCTTCAGTCTGATTTTTGGGTTGGAAGTGAGAAGAATGTGGAAGAAGGGTTGTCCAGTCTTGTTGGCTTCTGTACGGGATATGAACCTGGATGTTAGTTCTGTTTCTGATATCCAGTGGTACGAGAGTTTTCAGATGTATTTCCTGGGGAGTTGGTTTACCTTTCGATAGAGATGTGGAGTTCTTTATATATATTTTTCCGGGTACAGCTCCGATATCAAAAGCTCCGTACAGGATGGCACCGAAAGAACTTTCTGAGTTGAAAGTTCAGCTTCAGGAGTTGGTGGATATAGGATTCGTTCGTCCTAGTGTTTCTCCTTGGGTAGCACCTATTTTGTTTGTGAAGAAGAAGCAGGACGGAACACTCCGTATGTGTGTTGACTATATAGATTTGAATAAAGTCACGATCAAGAACAAGTATCCCTTACCGCGGATTGACGACTTGTTTAACCAGCTTTCTGGTTCTTCTGTGTTTTCGAAGATTGATTTGAGATATGAGCATTATCAGGTGAAGGTGAAGGAAGCTGATGTGTTGAAGACAGCTTTCAGTACTCGGTACAGACACTACAAGTTCTTGGTTATGCCTTTTGGGGTAACCAATGCACCTGCTATTTTTATGGATCTGATGAACAAAGTGTTCAGAGAGTATCTAGATCAGTTTGTGATCGTCTTCATCGACGATATTCTGATATATTCTGCTTCTGAGAATGATCATGCCAGACATTTGAGCATGGTGTTGGAGACTCTGAGACGGCATCAATTGTATGCTAAGTTCTCCAAGTGTGAATTCTGGCTGAATAGCATTTCATTTATGGGGCATGTGGTTAGCGGTGAAGGCTTTTCTGTTGATCCCCAGAAGATTCAGGCTGTTGCAGGTTGGCCAAGGCCTACTACGGTATTTGAGATACGTAGTTTCTTAGGCATGACTGGATATTACAGGAAGTTTGTGAAAGGATTTTCTCAGATTGCCACGCCTCTGACGAGACTGACTCAGAAGTCAGTAGCTTTTATTTGGACAACGGAGTGTGAGGCTAATTTTCAGATATTGAAGGATTGTATAACTTCAGCTCCAGTGTTAGCACTTCTGTCAGGTACAGAAAGATTTTAAGTGTTCAGTGATGCTTCACTGAAAGGTTTGGGATGTGTGCTACATCAGAATGGTAGGGTAATTGCTTATGTCTCGAGACAGTTAAAACCACATGAGAAGAATTACCTGACACATGATTTGGAATTAGCTGCAGTTATTTTTGCTTTGAAGATTTGACGTCACTATCTGTATGGCATCAAATGTGAGATTTTCACGGATCACAAGAGTTTGAAGTACATTTTTACTCAGAAGGATCTGAATTTTAGGCAAAGAAGGTGGCTTGAGTTGATCAAGGATTACGATTTGACGATTCAGTATCAGTCTGGTAAGGCTAATGTGGTAGCAGATGCTCTGAGCAGGAAATCTTCTGGATTATCTGGTATTCAGCTTACTTCTAATGATTTCTCATTCGTGATATGGAACGGTTGCAGTTGGAGGTGATTTCCTCCAGTGGTTTGGATTCCGGAGTTTTGACTCAATTGAGCATTCAGTCTTCTTTTGAAGAAAAGAGTCAGGAAGCCCAGAAGTTAGATTCTGATTATTCAACATTGATTGCTCAGATTGACTCTGATAAGAAGCATGAACTCCGAGTTTCTGATTCTGGTACTATTTTATGCAAGAACAGGTTGTGGATTTCTGTGTTTGGAGATCTGAGGAAAGAGATTATGTATGAATCTCATCATTCAGGTACTGGAAGATCTGTTGAGGCTTTCAAGTTGGTGACTTTGTAAAAATGGAGGGTGTGAGTAGATTTGGCAGTCCGATGAAGCGTGTGAGTAGATTTGGAAGAGTGAGTAAGCTTAGTCCAAGGTATGTTGGACCGTTTGAAATTCTTGAAAGGATTGATAAGTCTGCTTACAGACTGTTACTATCTGATCAGATGTCTGAGATGCACAATGTGTTCCACGTATCTTCTTTGAGAAAATGGATATCTGACTCTAGAAAGAAGTTGTCTGTTGATGAGGTTAAGATTCAGGAGAATCTGAGATATAAAGAAGAACCCGAGTTGATTCTAGCTTATGATGTTCGTAAGTTAAGAAGTAAACAGATTCCGATGGTTAAGGTGCAGTGGAAGCACCGAACTGCACGAGAAGCGACTTGGGAGAAGGAGTCGGACATGAAACAAGCATATCCGTATCTTTTCTAACTGAGTTTTGGTTTGGCAATGTCGAGGACGATATTTTTTTAAAGTTGGGGAGATTGTAAAAACATTTTTTGTTCCAGGTTCGTCCGGACGAAGTTGGATCGTCCGGGACGATCGGTACAGGTTGTGCATGAAAACATATTCGGCTGCATGGTTCGTCTGGATGAAATTTGGATCGTCTGGACGAAAATTTTATAGAGCCCAGTCGTCCAGGGACATTAATTAATTTTGTCTGGACGAAATTCGTCCAGAGCCACTTCGTCCCGGGACGAAGTTGCGATCGTCCGGGACGATCAGTCTGGATATATATAGAAATGAGATATTTTGAAGAGAGAGAAAAGCCAAGGAGATAGAAAAATGAAGGAAAAAGAAGGAAATGTGATTTTTGGGCGACTCCCGTCCGTTTTCGTCCGTTGCAGTAGTTCAAGAAATTGGTGTACGCAAGGTAAGACACATTCCGCCTTTCTCAATTTTCAGAACGGTGAAGTTTGAACGAGTTTTCTGCCCGTATTTCGTTTTCGTTAGCGAATTTCGTCAATATTTTCTGATTGGTTCAGTTTTTTACCGCGTAACTTTTGATATGTTTCTGAGGCGCCGAGTGTGCACATTTTGAATATTTTTTGGAATTTTTTGACCGGATAGTTTTGATTTGATGACGTTTTCTGTTGACTGTAAATTTTTACGATGTCTGTAAATGTTGTGGCAGTAGAATAAAAATCTTATAATATTGTTGTGAATGTTCTGTGGTAATTTGGTAAAATTCTGATTTGGTGAATTTTGTGTAAATTCCGTATACTGCCGTTATGCCGCCGGATTTTCGTACGATATCTGAAATTGTCCGTATTTGTTCTGAAATGACATGCTATGCTTGTATGCTATAAAAAGGGAGTTATAAGGGGTCAGTATCCTGTGAGATCCTGTATGTGTCAGGAAAAATTTGAAATGAGCTTTGAAATCTGAAAATAAGTTCTGTTCCGGATCCGATAATAAGTTCTGTTCTGGTGCTATAAGCACATCTGTTCTGGTGCCAAGAGCACAAAGGGAGGCATAAGGGGCCAGAATCCGAGAGATTCTGTTAGTGTCTGGGAAGGGAGGCATAAGGGGCCAAAATCGGTTGAGATTCTGTCAGTGTTAGGGAATCTATTCTGACTTTTGATATATTCTGAATTAATATGATTTCTGATTTCCGTACGATATAATTTGATCTGTATAATTATGATTCTGATACGATTCTGACACGATTCTGTTCTGTTCTGATATGATTTGATTCTGATTTCCGTACGATCCTATATGTTCTGATTTGATATTTAATTATTCTGTTTATTATATTCTGATTGATTCGTTTTTTTCTGCTCTATCAGCTCTGTACTCTGATTTTTGTACGACGGATTTCTGTCTGATATGTTTGATGTGGATTCTGAGGATTTGGTTGGAGGTTTGATGTCTTGCTGAGCTGTTGTAGCTCATCCTTGTTTTCTGCGTGGTTTTCAGGTTCTGGGAAAGGGAAGGAAGTCTTGGAGTAGAAGTTCAGAGTTTGATCCGTTATAGGTATTTTGTACTTTTGATTTTTGTACAGTCATGACTTTTCTGTTCTACTTTTCTTTCTGTCTAAAAGCAATGAGCTGTATTTATATATGATTCTTTTGAGGAAGAAAAGTATAGATGATCTGTTCCGCTGCATTTGATGTTTATAGAAGCTCTGTGTGCGTCTGTTTCTGTCTGTATGTTTGGAAGAAAGTTCTGAAATAAATTTCAGAGCCAGATCCTGTAATCAGTTCAGTTAGTCTGAAGTTCCGGCATCACGACCCGATGCGAGCGGGACCCGTCCCGGTCGGGTTGGGTCGTGACACATGTCATGTTCGGAAACTGTTTGGTAATCAAAATTGTGGTTTGATCCTTCCAACAGCGCTTTGGGTCTTTGATTCAGATGCATTTGGGCTCGGATTGAGTTGAATTTGGTGTCGTTGGGTTCATATATCGAGATGATCAGTTTGACTATAAGTTTGTTGAAATTGGAGTTTAGATGATCCCATATTTTATTTTTGAAATTTCCAACTTGATTTTTGCCTTGAGATTCATGTTTGATCAAGATAATTTTTTGATAACGTATCAAGGATAAATTTATTAAATTTCATCTTTCCAAATTTTTTAAGGGAGATTCATATGAATTGGGCTATAAAAATCGGATCACTATTCGAGTTAGTACGAATCCGATCCATTTTTAAAAATGGGTTTTTCAAACCCGAATATTAGCCGCTTCAGGTTTGGGTCATCCCGACCCGACCCGTAACTCTGATATTCTACAAAATCCTGTAAATATGCATTTGTCATTGGCCCGATATAGGGAGACCCATAGAGGCGACGACGTCTAGTGCAGGGAGAGTGAGAGGTGGCGGCGTTGGCTTCAGGCAGCGGGAGAAGGAGAGGTGGGTCGTGTCGGGTTAAGGTTAGGGTTTAAATTTTAGATTTCAGACCGAGGGCTTCAGGCGGTGGGAGAGGGAGAGGCTAGCGGCAGGATAGCGGGAAAACAACATTGGCTTAAGGTGACGTTGAATCGGGACTGCGACCTGCAAGACAGCAGAGAGTTATAGGATGATATGAATGAATATCTAACTGACATATTTGATATTTAAATTTCTGGGTCGGGTTCAAGTCGGACTTTTAGGTCATGTCAAATATTGACACCCCTAATATGAATATCACTTTATATCATTATTTATATATCTAATATTTAAATTTTCAATATTTCATGTCTACCATTTCTAAAATAAATATGAAAGCAATATTAAAGTTTATAGGATGATATGAATGAATATCTAACTGACATATTTGATATTTAAATTGTTTGTGGGTGGTAGACAAGAAATATTAAAATTTTGAGTGTTAGATATGTAAATAATATGATATAAAGTTGTATGTATGTAAATCCTCTCCTTTTTATTTCATTTGAATGCGAAAGTAAATTTTATTTAAATAAATAAAAATATTTTAAAACATATTTCTATCAATTTTAATTTAGAATATTATGACATTATTTTCATTCTTAAATTCAATAGGTGTTTGCAGTTTTAAGTGGAACAATTATTAGCAGAATAAATAAAATTTGTTAGTTTTATTATTTTCTAATCATATATTACTTATGGACTGCATTTTTTGTAAAGAAAATTGTAAAATTAATGAAGCCCAATGGTTTAATAAAAAAAAACATTATGAGTTTTTTATTGAAAAATGTTAACCTTTTTTTTCGATATTAATATCCAATGAAATTATAAAAGTTTTTTATTGAAAGTTTTAGCATAAACTAAGGTGTTTATATTTACAAACACCTTTGTTTTTTTTTTTTCATTAATTTTTTATGGCTAATTAATTTTTACCCCTCTTGAAATCTTAAAATTACAATTTAACTCCCAAAAGTTTGGCAAAATGACAAATTTCACCCTCATATTAATTTTTTCATCCATCAACTGGTAGGAATTTTCAAATCCTTATATCCATTCAAATATTCAACATATTCTACATTTATCTGCGTTGATTTAACTTTAGATCCCCTCAAAAAACCAACAGGTCTCAGTTCTATGAAATATTATAATATGTAAGTAAAGATTGCAAATATTTGTGATTTCTGCCTGATTGGATAAGGTAGGATAAATTTGGATTATCAACTAGGAATTTTGCTAGACTAATGAAAATGTTGTAGAAATAAAAATATGTGGCAAACATTAGGGAACTACGAACTTAGGTACTCGGAAATGACTTTCGTGTGATGACTGACATGAAGATCGGGGGTTAGCAGCTTGGCAAAAGCTGGTGTAGAAGTGAAGTAATAAAAGACGAAGAACGTCAGTAAATGGAACTCAATAAAATTAATCGAGCAACAATAATAAGGTGACAATGGATGGGTGATGATGATTGATGGTAATGATCATCATAATCAATTATCAAATAGAGTAATATGACTTTTCAAATTGTGAGCTCTCTTCACTGTATTTCTCATCCGTAAGTAGAGTATGCCAAAATCTTTATACATTCCATCAAATAGCTTAAAATGATCACGCTTGACCACTTTATGCATTATGAATATTTTAGTGCTTTTATGACATAAATATTAATTATTGGGGAGTATTCGACTTATTTGATTCGTCTCTTCACGAATCCCATTTTAGCTAAACTTTTGTTTCATAGGGAGTTCGATTCTTCCAATTTTTTTAATTTGAATTGTTGCACCAATATACATACTTGATCTAAGGGATTTTGGACGATGAGCATTTAAAATAAAAAATATAATATAGGACTTGAAAATTTATGCCATAAAATCAAAAGACTCAATGACTCTTATAAGACAATATTGACTTCCTCCTAAGTTTGTGAATTGAGTAAATTATTTTCAATCATAATTACGATTCTTTTTTGAAGCTAGCACATTAATTGAAGCAAATATTATAAATAGTATTTGCATTAAACTTGATGCAACACCAAAAATCATCATGATCAAGAATGAATCTCAAGTTATATTTGAATTGAAAACTTTCAAAATTAAATTCAAGACTATCTAAACTCTAATTTCAGCAAACTCATGCTCAAACTAAACGTTTCAAAGAGATAAACTCGATGACACCAAAATAAGTCTATTCTAAGCCCAAATCAAGGGCTTGAATCATATATGAAAGATTTTAAGATATTAATTGGATGGCTAGATGATATCTAAGTATAGCGTGCTTATAGTGGAATCATCTTCAAACCATGTTTAAGCCATATTTAAACAATAATTGAAAATAATTTGATCACAATTCAAAATTGGCTCGATCATAGTTTGAAGATGATTTGATCAGGGCTGAAATATGGGTTGATTACATTTTAAAGATGATTCGATGATGATTAAAAATAGCTTTAAGATTCAAAGATGATTTGGTCATGATTTTTAATAAGTTTGTATTAGGTACTATGCCATCTAATAACATCATGGGTTTAAGATTTAGAGAATGAACATTGAATTCAAACCTATA